GTTTCTGGGTTTAATTCAAGCTTCCTAATGGGCTTTCTTCTCCTTTTGTGGCAGGTGGGCATTAACTACCAGCCCCCCACTGTGGTCCCAGGGGGAGACCTGGCCAAGGTGCAGCGGGCCGTGTGCATGCTGAGCAACACCACTGCCATCGCTGAGGCCTGGGCCCGCCTGGACCACAAGTTCGATCTCATGTATGCCAAGCGGGCCTTCGTGCACTGGTACGTGGGAGAAGGCATGGAGGAAGGGGAGTTCTCCGAGGCCCGGGAGGACCTGGCAGCGCTGGAGAAAGATTATGAAGAGGTGGGCGTGGATTCTGTGGAAGCAGAGGCTGAAGAAGGGGAAGAATATTAAGTAGGAGGAGCAGCTGGCAACTCTTCCTTTACTTCCTGCCCACATGCACTATACCATTACTGTATGTGTTTGCCTATTAAAGTTCCTGTATTGAAGCATTCATTGTTTATGTTGTGTGCTGTACTGTGACATTCCTCTATTTAGACAGCTGCCTTTTCGATGTTGATGTCTAGAAGGGAAAACACCCATTTATCGGGGCATTTATCGGGCACATTCCTATGATTCCATCACTCTGAGAGCCCAAGATGGGAGGATCACAAGTTCATGCCCAGTCTATGCAACTTAGTGACTTAGCGAGACCCTGTCTCAAATAGGGCTGGGGATGTAGCTCAGTGCAAAGGCCCTAAAAAAATTATTCTAATGGGGCAGACATTGTGGCACACACCTGTAATACCAGCACTCAGGAGGCTGAGACAGGAGGATCACTGCTAATTCAAGGCCAACCTGAACTGCATAGTGAAACCCTGTCTCAAAAAGATAAAATTGGGGGCCAAGGATATAGCTCAGTGGCACAAGTGCCTGCCTCGCAAGTGCAAGGTCCTGAGTTCAATTCCCAATACACACACACAAAAAAGACAAAATTAATCTTAAATTATTAGGTATGTTTGTATATTTACTCTCTTATTCCCAGAAAGACTCCTAAACAATAGGCTGAAGGAATCAGGAAAAAATTCTTTACAAAGTGTGAGCAAATATGGTTTAAATTTATCGTTATAGTTTACAGTTAAGTTTATACTTACAGTCTGTAGTTTATAGTTATAGTTTCTGGTGGCAGATGCTTATAATTCCAGTACTTGGGCTTGGGAGGCTGAGGCAGAAGGATTACCATGAGTTTGAGGCCTTCCTGGAC